GTTGGTGGAGTTGAAGGGGATCTCGGCCACCTTGGGGTTCTTCTCTCGCATCTCAGTCACGGAGCCGCAGGTCTGCTCGATGAATTTGAGCAGCGCCGACTCGGAGGCATCTCCCGTGGTCCCCCGCTAGGGAAGGGGGCGCACGGTGAGGCCGGGGGTGCGGGCTGGGGGAGCCTGGGTGCGGCAGAGCTGGGCGGGGGGCGGCACCTTGATGATCGGGATCATCTCCTGATTGGGCTTGAAGTGGGCCCGGTTGCACAGCCCGGCGATTTGGGACAGGATTTTCCAGGTGCCAGAGCTCTTGTCAAAGGTGTTCTCTGGGGAGGAAGAGGATGCTGGGTGAAGCCGGGCTGCGTCCTGGCCGGCAGCTTCGCGCCCCACAAAAATCACAGACCGGCTTCTGCACCCGCACACGGAGCTTTCCGGAATTTCTTCCCCCTGGGTCTGAACACACTTCTGGCGGCCACTCATTCCAGTCCTGCAGTCCGTTCTTGTCCTCCGTCTCTCTGGGACCATCAGTCCCTCTCAGGAGTGCCCTTGACCCCTGCCCTACACTTGGCTTCTCCCAGGTCATTGGCTCCTTCCATGGCCTTGGCCTCCCCTGTGCCCTTGGCCCCGCCCTCTGTGCCCTTGGCCCCGCCCCTGTGCCCTTGGCCCCTCCCTCTGTGCCCTTGGCCCCGCCCCTGTGCCCTTGGCCCCTCCCTCTGTGCTCTTGGCCCCGCCCCTGTGCCCTTGGCCCCTCCCTCTGTGCCCTTGCCATTGGCCTCTTCCCCTGTGCTATTGGCTCCTCCCCTGTGCCCTTGGTCCCTCCCCCTGTGCCTTTGGCCCCACCCCTGTACCCTTGGCTCCTCCCGTGTCCTCAGCCCCGCCCTTGTGCCCCTGGTCCGAGCCTCCTATGCCCTTGACCCCTGCCCTCTGTGTTCTTGGCTCCTCCCTTGTGCCCTTGGCTCTGCCGTGTGCCTTTGGCCCTGCCCTCTGCTCTTGGCCCTGACCCTATGTCCTTGGCCCCACCCTCTGTGCTATTGGGCTCCTCCCCTGTGTCCTTGGCCCTTCCCCCTGTACTATTGGCTCCTGTCCTGTGCCCTTGGCCCACTCCCTCTGTGCTCTTGGCCCCGCCCCTGTGCCCTTGGCCCCTCCCTCTGTGCCCTTGGCCCACGCCCCTGTGCTCTTGACCCCGCCCCTGTGCCCTTGGCCCCTCCCCTCTGTGCCCTTGGCCCCGCCCCTGTGCCCTTGGCTCCTCCCTCTGTGCTCTTGGCCCCGCCCCTGTGCCATTGGCCTCTTCCCCTGTGCTATTGGCTCCTGTCCTGTGCCCTTGGTCCCTCCCCCTGTGCCTTTGGCCCCACCCCTGTACCCTTGGCTCCTCCCCTGTGTCCTCAGCCCCGCCCCTGTGCCCCTGGTCCCCAGCCTCCTATGCCCTTGACCCTGCCCCCTGTGTCCTTGGCTCCTCCCCTGTGCCTTTGGCCCCTGCCCCTGTGTCCTTGGCTCCTCCCCTGTGCCTTTGGCCCCGCCCCTGTGTCCTTGGTCCCACCCCCCCTATGCCCTGGGCCCCGCCCCCTCACCCTGCTGGTCCTCGGTGGTGTCAGCAGTGTACACAGTCTGGTCAAACCACAAGTGGGCCACAGTCATGCGGTTCTGGGTGAGCGTTGCCCGTCTTGTCGGAGCAGATGGTGGACGTGGAGCCCAGGGTCTCCACCCGCCTCCAGGTTCTTCACCAGACAGTTCTTGTGGGCCATGCGCTTGGCGGTCAGCGTCAGACACACCTGGGAGGTGGGCAGAGAGTGGACAGGGACCGTCTTTCCGATGGCCCTGGGGGTCTGCGAGCCCAGGAGGAGCTGCGGCAGAGCTTCAGAGAGGAGCGTGGGGGCAGGGAGAGCTTAGAGAGCTGAGCCAGGCCTGGCAGGTGGCCGGGGTGGACCCAGCCTTCCACTCCTGGGGTTCGTGATGAGAGGCTTCCCTGGGGTCACTCCCCGGGGGGCTGCCGTTTAGGCACATCCAGTCCCTGCCATTCTGGACTGAACCTTCTCAAGAAAGGGTCTCAGACCCGGGCCCACAGACCACACCGGTGGGCAGGAAGCCACGGGCGCCAGCTTGATTAGAAAAGTGGAAGCACTTGGCTCTGAGGCAGAGAAGTCAGGGCCTGGGAACAACCCAGGACTGGGCAGGCTCAGAACTTTCCGGAATTTCTTCCCCCCGGGTCTGAACACACTTCTGGCGGCCACTCATGCCAGTCCTGCAGTCCATTCTTGTCCTCTGCCTCTCTGGGACCACTAGTCCGTCTCAGCAGTGCCCTTGACTCCTCCCCTGCACTTGGCTCCTCCCAGGCCATTGACTCCTTCCATGGCCTTAGTCCCGCCCCGGCGCCATTGGCCCCGCCCCCATGCTATTGGCTCCTCCCTTGTGCCTTTGACCCCGCCCCTGTGCCTTCGCCCCTCCCTCTGTTCCCTAGGCCCCGCCCCTGTGCCTTTGGCCCCTCCCTCTGTGCCCTTAGCCCCGCCCCTGTGCCTTGGCCCCGCCCCATGCTGTTGGCCCCTCCCCATACTATAGGCCCCTCCCTTGTGCCCTTGGCCCCGCCCCTGTGCCTTTGGCCCCTCCCTCTGTGCGCTTAGCCCCGCCCCTGTGCCTTGGCCCCTCCCTCTGTGCCCTTAGCCCCGCCCCTGTGCCTTGGCCCCTCCCTCTGTGTCCTTGGCCCCGCCCCCGTGCTCCAGCTCCAGGTAAGCCTTCTGGAAGTCCTCTTGCATCTTGCTGTCCATGGGGTGCTCCTTCCCGCGGAAGAGGTACCTGGAGCACCTTCCCAGGGCCCGTGTCCCTGGCGCCATGCCCACTCACGGTGACAGTGGCCAGCAGTCCCTCGGGCACGTTGGCCACGATGATGCCGATGAGGAAGATGATGGCCTCCAGCCAGTGGTAGCCGAGGATGAGGGCGAGGAAGAAGAAGGAGATGCCCAGGAAGACGGCCACGGCGGTGATGATGTGGATGAAGTGCTCGATCTCCATGGCGATGGGCGTCTTGCCCACCTTCAGCCCCGACGCCAGGATGGCTATGCGGCCCATGATTGTGTTGTCCCCGGTGGCCACCACGATGCCCGTGGCGGTGCCTGTGAACAGAGCTGCCGTGGGCCATGTCCCGCGGTGGCGGTGGTGCGTGGGCCCCAGGGGACAAGCAGCTACCGAGAGCCCAGAGCGGTCAGTTGATCCGAGCCCAACAAGCTCTGGGTGGGGCCCCCTTTCCTGCTTTGACTGTGGAGGCCCCAGATAGAGGCTCTGGGGGGCTTCTCCCCCCTAGGACCTTCCATGGCGGGGTGCTGACGGGCCGCTCCGCACCTTCCACGCAGTTGGTGGAAAAGAAGCAGATATTCCGGGTCTCCAGAGGGTTCTCATGGGTGAACTCGGGGGAGCGGGTCTGCGGTTCCGACTCACCGGTCAGGGAGGAGTTGTCCACCTGCGGGAGGGGGCAGGTCAGCCAGGCACCAAGACGCCTTTAAGAAGGGATGCCCAGGGGCTGGAGCGATAGCACAGCGGGGAGGGCGCTTGCCTTGCACGCGACCGACCCGGGTTCGATTCCCAGCATCCCATAGGGTCCCCCGAGCACCACCAGGAGCGATTCCTGAGCGCAGAGCCAGGAGTCAGCCCTGAGCATCGCCGGGTGGGACCCAAAAAGAAAAAAAGAAAGTCCATCTTGGGGCTGGAGCGATAGCACAGCGGGGAGGGCGGTTGCCTTGCACGTGGCCGACCCGGGTTCAATCCCCAGCATCCCATAGGGTCCCCCGAGCACCGTCAGGAGTATTTCCTGAGTGCATGAGCCAGGAGGAACCCCTGAGCATCGCCGGGTGGGACCCAAAAAGCAAAAGAAGAAGAAGGGTTGTATAGAGGTGGCATCCCTGCCTGTCCCTTGTCTGGAGCCTTCCCTGCACCCTGTGCCCACACCCCACCCCTACACCCCGCACCCTGCCCTGGGGCTCCACCCCTGCACCCTGCACCCTAACCTTGCAGCCTTGTGAAGAGATGAGTCGGATGTCGGCCGGGATCCGGTCGCCGGCCTTCACCTCTACCAGGTCGCCCAGAACCACTTTATCCACGCCAATGTTTAGCTTCTGCCCTTCCCGAATCACCAGCGCTTGCTGCGGGCAGAGGGCGGAGTCGGGGCTTCTCCACCGGTTCTCCCCGAAAACGCATCCTCCAGGCCCGCCATGGCCTCGGGGTTGGGGTGAGGGCTGCTGGGGTCTGCTTCCCTCACGTGGGCCTGACTCTGCGTCCCCCTCCGCCCCCACGGGGCACAGACAGAGGCTGGACCTTGGCATCCCGCTGTCCCTGCCCCGTGCCCACTTCCTACTAGGCTCAGACCAGCCAGCACCATTGAGTGGTCACCGGTGGGGCCCAGCCACCTCGGAGAAGGCCAGTTTGTGGAGCTTGAGTCATTCTTACTGCCAGCTACTTCTACCCAACTCTGAGTCGCTGCGGCCACCGAAAGGTACCAGCAGCCCAAGACTGTTTGGGGACTTGTTTGAGGCTTCCAGCCCTGGTGAGGCCCAGCTTCTGATCCCCAGCAATGAGCAGGGACCCCTAAACAGTGCTGGCAGCCCCTGCCTCATGCACCCAGGACACCCACAACCCAGTTGGCCCACCCTCTGCCGTCACCCTGTCTTCTGACTTGCTGAAGGACCGCAGGATATGTGGACGCCAGTTTCACCTGCCCTGCTTTCCAGCCACCTCTGTTCTGGAACATTCCCACGCTGCATCCCAGCTCTCCTGGATGCAGGAGCCCCCAGCACCCTCCCTGACTGAGCAGAAGTTCTCTTTGGGGGTTTCCAGCTGCCACAAGGGCAGTCACATGCCGCTGCCACTGACCCCCACTGTCCTCTGGGGAACTTGGACCACAGAGGAGCAAATCCCATGTAGCTCCAGCCACTCAAGGGTCTCGTCAAGACCCCGGCCGGCTGCCTCTGTAGCCCATACCTGGGGCACCATGTCCTTGAACGACTCCATGATCTGGGAGCTCTTGGCCTCTTGGTAGTAGGAGAAGCAGCCGGTGATGAAGACCACGGAGGCCAGGACAATGCCCAGGTACAGCTGGGGGGGACGGGAGGAAAGTCCAGAGAGGAAAAGCAACCAGGGCATCATGCCCTCAGGGAGCCATGGTTGCTTGCTCTCATTTGCTTTTGGGTCACACCCGGCGATGCACAGGGGTTCCTCCTGGCTCTGCACTCAGGGAACACTCCTTGACCATATGGGATGCTGGGAATCGAACCCCGGTCAGACACGTGCAAGGCAAACACCCTGCCCGCTGTGCTATCACTCCAGCCCGGCTTGCTCTCATTTTCATTTTGTCCTGTGTGTTTTATTGAGGGGGAGGCACACGTGACAGGACTTCCTCCCGGCTCTGTGCTCAGGAGTGACACTCCTGACGGTGTTCAGGGTACCCTGCGCCCAGTCGGGGATTTGAACCGGGATCAGTGGGGTGCAAGTGACCTTCCACCCTGAACTCTCTCCCTCACAAACCACACCACTTTTTTTTTTTTTTTGGATCACACCTGGCGATGCACAGGGCTGACTCCTGGCTCTGCACTCAGGAGTTACTCCTGGCAGTGCTCAGGGGACCATATGGGATGCTGGGAATCGAACCCAGGTCGGTCGCATGCAAGGCAAACGCCCTCCCCGCTGTGCTATCTCTCCAGCCCCCCTTTTTTTGCTTTTGGGGTCACATTCAGTGATGCTCAGGGGTTCCTCCTGGCTCTGCACTCAGGAGTCACTCCTGGCGGTGCTCGGGGGGCCCTACAGGATGCCGGGGATCGAACCCAGGTTGACGGCGTGCACGGCAAATGCCCTCCCCACTGTGCTATCGCTGCAGTCCTACCCTCACTTTCCTAACCGATGGAATCTACGTCGAAAGGGCCTGGCAGGGCTGCACAGAAAACCTGGCAAGTTTTCGTCTGAATATGCCAAGACGAAAACCAGAGTCAACCGCATCTGGGATCCGAGGGCACTGGCCCAGGATGCGTTTCTCGGGTGCAAAAGGGTGGTAAGGGGGACAGCTCTGAGCAGCCCTGCTCGGTCAGCCTGTGGGTCCGGGGTCACTGTGTGGGATGGGCAGGGCAGCTGCCTGGTGTGGACCCCCTGTGCGGTGGGCGGCTGCGTGGGGGTCACCCGCCTGCGCTCACGTTGTCTTTCGTGGTGTCCTGGTTCACTTGGACTTGGATGTAGTAGGCCACGATACAGAGGATGGCCCCGGTCCACAGCAGAAGGGAGAATCCCCCGAACATCTGTTCGCAGAATTTGATCCATTCGGGGGTCTTGGGGGGCGGCGTAAGCACATTGGGGCCATCGCGCTCCAGAATCTTCTGGGCTGTGGTGTGGGTGTGGCCCTGGCAGGGGAGGCACAGGTCGTGGGGACGATTCAGCACCCCCAGGGGACATGCACCAACTTCCCTCCCTGACTTTTGCGCCTGGGGCCCGGGGCCCCTCACGTGGGCAGGGCTGGAGAGAAAACCACGCTGACCCAAAACCTGAAGCAGCCTCTGCTGCCCCCGGTGATCAGGCAGTCACCCTCGGGTGGACACGATGAAGCCTCTAAGTCCAGCCCTGCTGTGCTTGTGGGCCAGGACAGAGCGGCCGTGAGCGGGACCCACAGTGTGTGTGTGTATATGGGGGCGGAAGCCAGTGATGCTTGGAGTTTGCTTCTGGGGGCGTCTTCGGTTTTGTTTTTTTTCTTTTTGGGTCACACGCACTGATGCATAGAGGTTCGTCCTGGCTCTGCACTCAGGAATTACCCCGGCAGTGCTCGGGGGACCATCTGGGATGCTGGGAATCGAACCTGGGTCAGCCGCGTGCCAGGCCAACGCCCTCCCCGCTGGGCTATCGCTCCAGCCCCTGGGGGCGTCTGGGCGCCCCGGCCATTCTCACGATTGCACAGAGACTCTGCCGCCCTTCCAGCCCCCCTCCCCGCTGTCCTCTCTCCCGGCAACACAATTTCTTCTTTGTGCAAAGTATCTGAGAACCCAGAGTCTGGGCGGACAATAGGCCAAGGGCTCGGGCCAGGGCCAGGGGCCTCCTTGGGGCCCCCCTAAGAGCCGCTTGCCATAAAGAGCTGTGGGGCTGGAGCAATAGCACAGCGGGGAGGGCGTTGGCCTTGCACGTGGCCGACCCGGGTTCGATTCCCAGCATCCCATAGGATCCCCTGAGCACCACCAGGAGTCATTCCTGAATGCATGAGCCAGGAGGAACCCCTGAGCATCGCCGGGTGTGACCCAAAAAGAAAAACAAAGATGTGAGCGGTGCAGCGGCCGAGGGCCCGCTCTGAAGGGCCGCTTCTCCATTTCCTCTCCTGCACGGAAGCCCCTTGGGGTGACCAGGGAGTGTTTGTGGTTGGCTCGGGGGTCACGGCTCTGTCTGCGGGGAACCCCTGTAAACCTACCATTTGCAGGTCCACGGAGTACTTGGCGCTGAGTTCTTCCAGGCTTAGCATGTGGTCCTCCTGCGGGGAGAGACAGGCGTGAGCTTGGGGGTTGAGGGCAGAGTGGCCGCCGGGGGCCTGTGTCCGGCCGCTTACCATGGTCGCCTCCTTCTTCAGTGCCTCCAGGTTCTGCTCTTTGTACTTGAGCTGCCTGACTTTTTTGCTGGAACTGGACTTCTTCCTGGCCTGCATGTTGCTGAAGGTCTGCCCATGGGAAGGGCTGACCACGGGCTCCCTTTCCTCCTCCTTGGCCTCCATGCTGGCCGGGTGGGCTGCCGGGAAGGTGTCCCCCACGGCTCTGTGGCCCCTTTCTTTCCCTGTGGCCCGTGCCCAGGCCCCTGGTGCAGGAGGACGGCGAGGATGGAGGGACCCAGCCTGAGAATTCTGGAAGGGGCCTTAGAAGTGGAGGGGACGGCCGTGGGGGACAGGAGAGAGAGATGACCCGTGGCTGGGGTGGGAGGTGGGAAGGACGCCAAGGGGCTGGTCAGGGCGGGGCTCCAGCCCCACATCTTGACATCACAAAGGTTCTCAGGTTTCCTGGTGGGGGGGGGGCTATCCTCACTGTGGCACCCCAGTGCCTGGACTCAGCCGTCCTTCGAGTCGGGCCCCCAGTCCCCATCGGAGGGGTAGCCGGGCCTGTGTGGGCAGTGCTGACGCCTCTCTGCCCCCCCTCCCCACACCCCCCCCTCCGTTGGAGTATAAGGAGCTTAGGTCTATCAGGTTGCACCCATCACAGTGCTCCCGAGTCATTCCTATTACTTTGTCAATTTTTTTCTTTTTGCTTTTTGGGTCACACCCAGCAATGCTCAGGGGTTCCTCCTGGCTCTGCACTCAGGAATGACTCCTGGCGGTGCTTGGGGGACCCTATGGGATGCTGGGAATCGAACCTGGGTCGGCCATGTTGGCTGCGTGCAAGGCAAACGCCCTACCCGCTGTGCTATCGCTCCAGCCCCATACTTTGTGAATTTTAATCCAAATAGGAGAATCAATAGTTTCCTGAGATTGTGCATCTTCTTGGAAATGTCTTTCAGCTGCTGTATATGGCTCCCCTTGAGATAAATTCAAAATTTTAAAGAAAACCACGTCAAGGACAAGGAGTCAAACGGGGCATACCTCCTTTTTTTTTTTTTTTTAACTACAGTACAAGTTTAGTGTCCTAGAAGGATCCGACCTTACAAATTGGTTGGGGAAGGGAGCACAAAGAAGTAGTTACAGGGGCTGGAGCTATAGCACAGCGGGTAGGGCGTTTGCCTTGCACGTGGCCGACCTGGGTTCGATCCCCGGCATCCCATATGGTCCCCCAAGCACCGCCAGGAGTGATTCCTGAGTGCAGAGCCAGGAGTACCCTGAGCAGCCGGGTGTGACCCAAAAAAGCAAAAAAAAAAACAAACCAAAAAAAAAAACAAAAAAGTTACAAAGTAATGGGAATGACTCGGGAGCACTGTGATGGGTGCAACCTGATAGACCGAAGCTCCTTGTACTCCAACACCCCCCCACACTGTGCCGGGATCCCAGCTGGAGGGTGGGGCGGTGCGAAGGGTGGGGTCCCCCGCCCGCCTCCAGCCTGCTGTGCTCGGGAGGGCGTTGCGCATCTGCCCGGGCGCGGGTGGCCTCCCTCCGTGGACGCCGTGATGGTGTTTGTAAAGCGCGGGCCCCCGCGCCCGTGGGGTCCCGCTCACGGCTGCAGCTTGTCTCTCCCACGGTCCCGGCCCACGGCTGCAGCTGCTCGGTTCACTCCGTGCCAGCCCGCCCCGCCGCCTTCCCACACTCATTCCTGGCTCTGCTCACCAGCCCTGCGCACGGCCGGCTCCTTCCCCAGCGCCTGCCTCTGCCCGCGCAGGGCAGGGCTCGGCCAGGGGACGACTCTCCTGCCTCCGGGTTGGGCTCGGGGCTGCAGCCCATTTGTTTGTCTTCTCCGTGGAAAGGGCCACGTCAAAACCCTAGTCCTGCCCCTTCTCTGCTGGCAGTGCGGGATGGTCACTGTGTTCAGCCTGGCGGGACGCTCACTGTGTTCAGTCTGACCTCGAGTGTCTAAGCTCGCTCCTTCCTCAGGGACTCTGCTCACCCTGCCTGGGGCACCAGGGTCCAACCTGTCGGCTACCTGTGGCAACTTCCCCACTGTACTGTCTCCTAGGTCCTTTCTCCCTCTCTCCCTCTCTCCCTCCCTCTCTCTCTTTCCTCTCTGTTTCTCCCTCTCTCCCTCTCCCTCTCTCTCAAACTCTCTCTCCTCTCTCCCTACCTCTCTCTCCTCTCCCTCTCCTCTTTCCCTCCCTCCCTCTCTCTTTTCCTCTCTCCCTGCCTCTCCTCTCTCTCCATCTCTCCCTCTCCCTCTCTTTTTTCCCTCCCTTTCTCTGCCTTCCTCTCTCCCTCCGCCTCCTCCTCCTCTCCTCTCCCTCCCTCCCTCTGTCTCCTCTTCCTCTCTCTCCTTCTCTGTCTCTCCCTCTCCCTCTTCCTCCTTCTCTCTGTCTCCTCTCTCTCTCCCTCCCTCCCTCTCTCTCCTACCTCTTTCCCTCTCTCTCCTGTCTCTCCTCTCTCTCTCTCCTCTCTCATATTTAGGAATGCATTTTCTTTTTTCTCTTTCTTTCTTTCTTTCTTTCTTTCTTTCTTTCTTTCTTTCTTTCTTCTCTTCCCTCCTTCCCTCCTTCCTTCCATCCTTCCATCCTTCCTTCCTTCCTTCCTTCCTTCTTTCCTTCCATCCTCCCTCCCTCCCTTCCTTCCTTCCTTCCTTCCTTCCTTCCTTTTCATTTGTTTTGGGGCCACACTCAGCAATGCTCAGGACCGACTCCTGGCAGGAGCCAGAATCACTCCCAGCAGTGCTCGGGGGACCCTTCAGGATGCCGGGGATGGAACACAGGTCGGCATCTTGCAGGCAAACGCCCTGCCCACAGCACTATCACTCCATCCCCGGTTTTTATTTTCTAAAACTGCAGCCTGGGCCTAGGGCGATGGCTCAAAGGGCCGAGCTTGTCTCTGCCCGCAGGAGGCCCGGCCTTTGCTCTTATCTCAGCATCACGGGCCTCGCCTTGACCTCTCTCCGCACGTCCGCCTTGTCCAGGACTCAGATACTCAGTGCAGTGGCATCCCGGCTTTGCTCTTTTTTTTTTTTTTTAATTTTTTTGGAGTCACACCCAGCTGATTCAGGAATTCCTCCTGGCGGTGCTCGGGGGACCCTATGGGATGCTGGGGATCGAACCCGGGTCTGCCGCGTGCCAGGCCAACGCCCTCCCCGCTGTGCTGTCACTCCAGCCCCTCCCCGTTTTGCTCTCTCCCATCTTCTGCTGTCCACGCGGAAGCAGACATAGGCCTGGTCCCAAGGGCATTTCCTCTTCCTCCTCGGGGATGCTGGCCGCTGGCTCGTGGGCAGGACACCCACAGACGTCCCCCTGGAGCGGTCCCACAGAAGGTGGCTTTGGCTAAACCCAGTTGCTACTTGTTCAAAGTTGCTACTGTAACAGGTTTCAGGGAGTGTGTGTGGGGGGGGGGGGGCGGGAGGCGCGGAAGATTCCCGATGCCACTGGGACACTCAGCAGGACTGTCCCTGCTCCCGTCCTGCTACGGCTGTGACCAGTAGGGCCACCCAGAGCCCTGCTCTAGATAATAGCTCGGCCTCTGCCCGCCGGGGGCCGCTCCTGGCTGAGGTCAGGAAGAACCTCTCCTCCCACATCCCGGTGGAGGCCTGCCAAGCCCTCCCCGCCTCTCCCCTCCCCGCGGCACCTGCCCCCTCCCGCCCTCACTCCTCCCCCTCCCCTCCGCATCAGCTGCTGTGTTGGATGGAACCGTGTGTGGCCCCCAGGAAGAAGGCCCTGACTCTGTCTGCTTCCAGAAACTTCTTTCTCTCCGGGTCTCTCCTGGGACACCATCTGCTCCTCGAGGGGGCCTCCCGCCTGCCCGCCCACCCACGTCCAGCCCTCTCTTCTCCTCCAGCAGCTGCGTCCGGCCACAGCCCGGCCGGCGAGGGACGCGTGATTCACAAAAATGCAACTTTATTGTCTGAGTATAGCGCGAGCGAGACTACGGCGGCCCTACTCCTACATGAATGCGTCTACGGTCCCCAGCACGCTCTCGGGAAACGCCTTCCCGGGCCTCTGAGCTGCTCCTCCACAGCCCCCCCAGCGCCCAGAGCTGGTCCCTCCCTCCCTGCCCACCCACCACAGGACGCCAGAGATGGGAGCAGAGCCGCGAGGGCGGGCTGGGGTCTCCACGTGCCGCGGGGTCCACTCGTGCCCTGCCCTGGACCCTGGGGTTCTGGGGACAGTCTGGGCTGGCGGGTTCAGTAGGTGGACGTGGAGTGCGGGTGGGAGGACCAGGGAGCCGTTGGGACCCCTCCGGGGGCCTCCCAGGTGGGCGTCCTTAGCTCCTTAGTGGTCTCTGGCCCTGGGCAGTTTCCAGTGGCCACGATGGATAGCAAAGGACACGAGAGGCACATCCTCACTGCCTGTCCCAGCCTTCAGCAGACCTTGTGGACTCGGGCCCAGCCTAGGGAGCACTGTGGCCTCGGAGTCGAGGTGGGGGAAGGGGCTGCAGGATGGTGATGGGGGAAGCACAGGGTCCGTGACTCCCGTCCAATCATCTGCTCCGGGGAAGGCTGCAGGGTAGGGGCTGGGAAACCCAGGAGAGGGCCCGGGTGGGCGCCAGACCCTAGTCAGGGCCAAGCGTCTCCCTTAACCCCCCCGGCACTCCCCGTGTTTCCCGGCCCCTCGTGCCTCGACGTCCTTCTCCCGCGCCCCCAGTGCTGAGGCGGGCTCAGTAGTACGTCTCCTTCTCCACCCAGCCTGCAGGAGGGAGAGACAAAGGATTAGAGTGGCCCCTGGGGGCTCGAGAGGCCTGAGAGGGGCCCCCAGCCCGGAGCCCAGAGTGTGACCCCGTTCTGCTCTGAGCTTCTGGACTTTTCAATATTTTTTTTTGTTTTTTTGGGGGGCCACACCTAGCGATGCGAAGGGCTGACTCCTGGCTCTGCATTCAAGAATCACTCCTGGTGGTGCTCAGGGGACCCTATGGGATGCCGGGGCTCGAACCCGGGTTTGCTACGGGCCAGACCCTCCTTATCACTCCTGTCCATGTCTGTCTGTCTGTGTGTCTCTGTGTGTGTCTCTCTCTCTGTCATACCCAGCGATGCTCAGAGCTGACTCCTGACTCTGCACTCAGGAATCACTCCTGGCAGTGCTCGGGTGACCCTATGGGATGCCAGGAATTGAACCCTGACCATACTTTTTTCTTTTTTTTTTTTTTTGCTTTGTGGATTTTTTTTCTTTTTTCTTTTTGGCTTTTGGAGTCACACCCGGCGATGCTCAGGGGTTCCTCCTAGCTCTGCACTCAGGAAGCACTCCTGGCAGTGCTTGAGCGGGGGGACCCATTGGGATGCTGGGGATCGAACCCTGACCCTTCTCCCTTCCCCCTTTTTCTTGGTGAGGTTTTTTTTTTTTTTTTTGGCTTTTTGGGTCCCACCCAGCAATGCTCAGGGCTGACTGACTCCTGGCTCTGCACTCAGGAATCACTCCTGACGGTGCCTGGGGGACCCTATGGGATGCCGGGGATCGAACCCAGGTTGGCTGTGTGGAAAGCAAACGCTCCATCTACCTGCTGTGCTATCTCTCTGGGCCCCCTGAGCTTCTGGACTTAAAGCACCCTGGGGTGCACCGGGCAAAGGGAGTTCTGCTTTGTCCTTTCTCTGCAAGGCTGGGAGTCACTCCGGGCAGTGGATTCCGGGTCTCCCACAGGCCCCCAAGTCCCTCTGAGCCCCCTTCACTCCTCAGCTGCAATCAGCAGTGCCACAGGGGACTGTGGGGGTCCGGGGCCTGGGCAGGGGACGGCGAGGATACAGTGGGCCCCCACCCGGGCGTGGGGACCGTGTGTGCAGCCTGAAACCTCACCTCCCGGGTAGCGACGCAGAATGAGCTTGCGGACCTCGTCGTAGATGAAGATGAGGAGGCTGTAGGGCACGGCGCAGAACCACCACGTGACCCTGGAGGGGGGCGGAGATCAGGGCCGGCCCTCATGGCCACCCAGGGCAGGGTGGGGCAGTGTCTGCGGACACTCACTTGGTTTTTTTTTTTTTTTGGGTCACACCCAGCAATGCACAGGGGTGGGTTACTCCTGGCTCTGCACTCAGGAATTACCCCTGGCGGTGCTCAGAGGACCCTATGGGATGCTGGGAATCGAACCCGGGTAGGCCACGTGCAAGGCAAACCCCTCCCCGCTGTGCTATTGTTCCAGTCCCTGCAGACACTCACTTGAGCGGGTACATACGCAGTGCCACGCCCATGCCCGGGCAGTAGGACAGGAAGGCGGCCAGCGCAGTCTCCTCCAGGAGCCCGAAGATCAGGATCTTGTTCCTGGAGGGGGTGGACGCAGGCTCAGCGGGGTGTCCCCCCCACTCCCAGGGTGGGCGGGAACGGGGCCGGAAGCGGTGGGGGGCGGTGACCCTTCCCACGCCCTCTGTTTCCTGAGAACCCCTGGTGAGCTGGGTATGATTCGCTCATCTGTCTCCTCCTGGGCGGACGGGGGTGGGGGAGTGGGGGGTTGGCGGGCGCTGGGCTCTGAGCAGAGATGCAGTGTCCACTCAGCTGCACTGCCAGCCTGCCTGGCTCCCCTAACTCCCCAGGGTCCCCCCAGGCCTCCCCAAGTCTCTCATTTCCTCCCTTCCAGGGCCTGTGACTGCCACACCGTGCCCCCTGCCCCTCTCTCCCGCCCGCTGCCCTGCACGCCCTCACCCTGTACCCTGTAGACCTTCACCCAGTGCTGCTTGGGCCCCGCGTGCCCTCTCCCGGGCAGGAAGAGAAGGATAGGGGGCGGAGGGAAGGTGAGAGGGAAGATCCGACCCAGGTCTTGCGGGACCCTGTGGTGCTGGCAGCTCAGTGGCACCTGCCTGGCGTCCCCGGCTCACCTCATGCCCTGCTGGAAGACGGAGTTCCGGCGGGTCTTGCAGATGATGAGGTCGGCCCACTGCACCACCACGATGCTGGCGAAGAAGGCCGTGTGGCAGGTGAACTCCACAACCTTCCGCTGCTCATAAGTCTGCGGGCACAGGGCCGTGTGAGCGCAGGACCCACTCGGCCATCTGTGCCGCTGACCACCTGCCCAGTACTGCCTGCTGTGCACCCGAGGCAGTGGGAAGGGGGACGGGACGGGAAGGGGAGGGCGGGGGGGGGAGGGGCACCACCTACCCACTCCTGCCCGTAGCTGTCCTCCAGGTCATTTTTGGAACGGTCATCCCAGTCCAGCCGGATGCCCAGGAGCCTGGACGGCAGGAAGCCATTCTCAGCCAGGATCACGAAGTAGGTGAAGAAGCCGCCCAGCGCCTGGATCATCCCTGAGGATGGGGAGGGGGCCGAGAGCAGGGCCGGGGTCAGAGAGGGACCCTGAGTGGGGGCAGGACCCACAGAGTGGGCGGCTCTCCTGGAATATGGGGTCCCAGCCTGGAGCTGGGGAGCCTCTTCCCAACAGCCGCCCTGTAGTGGGCACGCCCAGGGCACCCACCGATCTGCCCGTAGGCCATGGAGATGAGCCGCTCATTCACCAGCTTGTCCGTCTGCGGGTTCCGGGGCTGCCGTTTCATGATGTCGCTCTCGGCCGCCTCATAGGCCAGGGAGATGGCCGGGACCTGGGCGGGCGGAAGGAGGGGAGGGAGGATCTCAGAACATGCTTGGGGTCTGCACTGCCCCGAGCCACCCCAGGGGCTCCCACCGGCCTCACCATGTCGGTCCCCAGGTCAATGCAGAGGATGGTGACGGTGCCCAGGGGCAGTGGAATGTTGGCGATGATGAAGAGCAGGAAGGGGGTGATCTCGGGGATGTTGCTGGTCAGCGTGTAGGCGATGGACTTCTTCAGGTTGTCAAAGATGAGGCGGCCTGCGGGAGGGCATCAGGGGGCTGTGAGGGACGCGGGGGACCAGGCTCCCATTGTCTTAAACCCAGTGATGGGACCAGGAGCAAACGTGGAGTCTCCAGGCTTTGAGCCCCGTGGGTCAGGGACCCCCAGTCCACAACCTCCTCTTCCTCCACTCTTAGGACCCCCCCAGCCCATGTGCTCACCCTCCTCCACGCCAGTGACGATGGACGCGAAGTTGTCGTCCAGCAGGATCATGTCGGCCGCCTGCTTGGACACGTCTGAGCCCGAGATTCCCATGGCAATGCCAATGTCGGCCTTCTTCAGGGCAGGGGAGTCGTTCACGCCGTCCCCCGTCACGGCCACGATGGCCCCCTGCGGAGCATCCGGGTGCGGTCAGCGTGGCTCCCGCCCTCCCTGCTCAGGGTGAGCCCCCTCCCGTGCCCACCTGCCGTTGGCAGCCCTCCACGATGATGAGTTTCTGCTGCGGGGACGTGCGGGCAAAGACGATCTCTGTGTGATTGCGCAGGATCTCGTCCAGCTGCGTGGAGTCCATGTCCTTCAGGTCAGAGCCGTGCACCACGCATGCCTTGGCCTCTCTGGGGAGAAGGTGCTGGTCAGGGCAGGCCCCGCCTCCTGCCAGCTCAGGCCACGCCCCTGCCAGCTCAGCCACACCCCCACTTCCTGCCAACTCAGGCTCCACCCCTGCCAGCCCAGGCCCCGCCTCTGCCAGTCCAGGCCCCGCCTCCTGCCAGCCCAGGCCCCTCCTCCTCCATCTCAAACCCCGCCCCCTGCCAGTCCAGGCCCCACCTCCTGCCAGCCAGGGCCCGCCTCCAACAGCTCAGGCCCCGCCTCCTGCTTGTCAGCTCAGGCCCCGCCTGCTGCCAGCCTAGGCCCCGCCTCCTGACAGCTCAGGCCACGCCTCCTGCCAACTCAGGCCCCGCCTCCTGCTTGTCAGCTCAGGCCCCGCCTCCTACCAGCTCAGGCCCCACCTCTGCCAGCTCCGGCCCCACCTCCTGACAGCTTAGGCCCAGCCTCCTGCTAGCTCAGGCCCCACCTCCTGCCAGCCCAGGCTCCGCCTCCTGACAGCTCAGGCCACGCCTCCTGCCAACTCAGACCCCGCCTCCTGCTTGTCAGTTCAGGCCCCGCCTCCTGCCAACTCAGGCCCCGCCTCCTGCTTGTCAGCTCAGGCCCTGCCTCCTGCCAGCTCAGGCCTCACCTACTGCCTTCCCAGGCCCCTGCCATCTCAGGCCCCGCCTGCTGCCAGCCTAGGCCCCGCCTCCTGACAGCTCAGGCCCCGCCTCCTGCCAACTCAGGCCCCACCTCTGCCAGCTCCGGCCCCACCTCCTGACAGCTTAGGCCCAGCCTCCTGCTATCTCCGGCCCCACCTCCTGACAGCTCAGGCCCCGCCTCCTGCCAACTCAGGCCCCGCCTCCTGCTTGTCAGCTCAGGCCCCGCCTCCTGCCAGCTCAGGCCCCGCCTCCACTAATTGAGGCCCAGCTTCCTGCTAGCTCAGGCCCCACCTACTGCCAGCCCAGGCTCCGCCTCCTGACAGCTCAGGCCACGCCTCCTGACAGCTTAGGCCCCGCCTCCTGACAGCTCAGGCCCCGCCCCCTGCATCTCAGGCCCCGCCCCTGCTAGGTCAGACTTGGCCCCTTCCAGATCACGCCCTGCCTCCTGGCAGCGCCAGCCTCGCCTCCTGCCTACTTGGGGCCCAGGGCCCACTGCCAAGGTAGGGAGGGGAAGGGGCTACTGCAGGGCTTCACCTGGGGTTGACCTGGCTGACAGGGATGTTGAGCCGGGCCGCAATGTCCTCCACAGTCTCGTTGCCCTCGGAGATGATGCCCACACCCTTGGCGATGGCCTTGGCCGTGATGGGGTGGTCACCGGTCACCATGATCACCTGGGGGAGTGGACGGCCGGGATGCACCTTGGTGGCCGTGCGTCTGCTGGAGGGGTCGGCCCTCCCTTCTCATGCCCTTGGAGTGCGGGGCAGAGGTCAACGGGCGTGCGGACCCCTACCTTGATGCCTGCACTGCGGCACTTGCCCACAGCGTCGGGCACGGCTGCCCGGGGAGGGTCGATCATGGACATGAGGCCCACGAAGCACAGCTTCTCGGTAGGAAAATTCAGCTCATCTGTGTCGAACTTGAAGCCCCGAGGGAACTTTCCAGAAGGTAGGTTCAGCATACAGAACCCTGGGGTGCGGGGTTGGAGCAGGGGGGACAGCCTGAACCCGGCCCCAGCCATCCCTGCGCCCCTACCCCCAACCCCAACCCTGCAGGCCCCCCCAACAAGCCCCTCCCCCAGTCCTAGAGTCCCCTCCCTCAAACGTGTAGCCCCCTCCCCACCAAGCCCCTCTCTCCCAGTCCTTGGGCTTCCCTCCCCCAACACTGTAGCCCCCCTCCCCGCCAAGCCCCTCTCCCCAGTCCTCAGCTCCTCTTCTCCCAGTGCTGCAGACCCCTCCTCGCCCCTGCAGTCCTCTCCCCAGCCCCATGCCCAGCGTGTGCCTCTCACCCAGCACTCGCTCGCCCAGGCCGCCCAGCTCCATGTAGGCGTTCTGGAAGGCGTCCTGCATCTCCTTGTCCAGGGGCAGCTCCTTGCCCTGGACCAGGATGGAGGAGCAGCGGTCCAGGATGCGCTCGGGGGCGCCCTTCATCACCAGCACGTAGCTCTGGGGGCTGTCTTCGCGCTCGTGGATGGACAGCTGCAGAGAGCCAGCAGGTGGGAGGTTCAGGGGCCCAGGTGCTAGCGGAGAGCAGGGGCCAGGAGACCCCTCACTCCACACTGGAGAAACTGCCGAGTGGTCAGAAGTGACTGGGCGCCCACACTGGCCAGGGTGCCCACGCTGGCCCTCCAGTTTTTCTTGCCACCGGCTGAGGGGCCCAAGGCACAGAGAGTGGACAGGAAGGAGAGCTGGGGCAGCACTGCCCAGCCACTGTCACCCTTCCAATGGTGACAATGCTCGCAGCGCTCCCCGCCCCGGTGTTCCGCCCAGCTCTGCGCCCCAGACCTGGTACTTGTTGGTGGAGTTGAAGGGGATCTCGGCCACTTTGGGGTTCCGCTCTCTCATCTTGCGCACAGAGCCGCAGGAGAGCTCAATGCACTTGAGCAGTGCCGACTCGGAAGCATCGCCGGCGGTGTCCCGCTGCAGAGGGGTCAGCGGTCAGCTGGAGGCCCGCAGTCCAGGGGGACTGGATGGGGGCCCGCACGGAGCTCCGGCACTTACTTTGGACACAGAGATATTCTCCTGGCCCGCCTTGAAGACAGCGCGGTTGCAGAGCCCCGCAATGCGGGACAGGGCTGTCCAGGTGGGCGAGCGCTTGTCGAAGGTGGCCCCTGCAAGCACATGGGACGGCAATTTGCAACTTGGGTGCAGCCCAAGCCGGCCTCTTGCTCTGGGTCCAGCCCCTGCCCTTGGCCCCGCCTTCATCTGTCTAGCCCCGCCCCTTCCTTTGGACCCGCCTTAATCTCTAGCCCCGCCCCTTCCCTTGGCCCCGCCTTTGTCACTATAGCCCCGCCCCTGCCCTTGGCCCCACCTTCGTCTCTCTAGCCCCGCCTCTGCCCTTGGCCCCGCCTTTTTCTCTCTAGCCCCGTCCCTGTTCTTGGCCCCGCCTTCATCTCTAGCCCCGCCCCTGACTTAGTCTCTCCATCTCTCTTGCCCCACCCCTGCCCTTGGCCCCGCCTTCATCTCTCTAGTCCCGCCCCTGCCCTTGGTCCCACCTTCATCTCTCTTGCCCCACCCCTGCCCTTGGCCCCGCCTTCGTCTCTCTAGCCCCGCCTTTCCCCTTGGCCCCGCCTTGTTCTCTCTAGCCCCGTTCCTGTTCTTAGCCCCGCCTTCATCTCTAGCCCCGCCCCTGCCCTTGGTCCCTCCTTCATCTCTAGCCCCGTTCCTGTTCTTAGCCCCGCCTTCATCTCTAGCCCCGCCCCTGCCCTTGGCCCCGCCTTCATCTCTAGCCCCGCCCCTGCCCTTGGTCCCGCCTTTATCTCTAGCCCCGCCCCTGCCCTTGGTCCCGCCTTCATCTCTAGCCCTGTCCCTGCCCTTGGTCCCGCCTTTATCTCTAGCCCCGCCCCTGCCCTTGGCCCCGCCTTCATCTCTAGCCCCGCCCCTGCCCTTGGTCCCGCCTTCATCTCTAGCCCCGCCCCTGCCCTTGGTCCCGCCTTTATCTCTAGCCCTGTCCCTGCCCTTGGTCCCGCCTTCATCTCTAGCCCCGCCCCTGCCCTTGGTCCCGCCTTCATCTCTAGCCCCGCCCCTGCCCTTGGTCCCGCCTTCATCTCTAGCCCCGCCCCTGCCCTTGGTCCCGCCTTCATCTCTAGCCCCGCCCCTGCCCTTGGCCCCGCCTTCATCTCTAGCCCCGCCCCTGCCCTTGGTCCCGCCTTCGTCTCTCTAGCCCCGCCCCTGCCCTTGTTTTCCCTCCTACAGTGCCCACGGCTCACCCCTGGTTTTGGCCCGGTCCTCTTACCTGACTGGTCCTCCGTGGTGTCAGCCTCGTGGATCTGGTTGTCGAACCACATGTGGGCCACGGTCATGCGGTTCTGGGTGAGCGTGCCCGTCTTGTCGGAGCAGATGGTGGACGTGGAGCCCAGGGTCTCCACCGCCTCCAGGTTCTTCACCAGACAGTTCTTGCGGGCCATGCGCTTGGCGGTCAGCGTCAGACACACCTGCGAGGGCATGGGGGACATGCCTGTATGACACCCTGGCCATGGTCCACCTGCCTCTGTCTGTCACCCAAGTTCCCCGGGCTCCTGACGCTCCTGGGGTGCCGAGACAAGGCTGTGGGGCCATGTAGGAGAATTGTTCAGCAGGAGGGGAGGACATCGTCCGGATTCCAGGAGCACCTGAGTCCAGGGAACCAGGCAGAGAGCCGGGGCCTGAGGTGGGGGACGCTGCAGGGGACAGACCAGGAGGTCCGGGTTGGGACATGTCCCAGGGATGAATAATAGGCTTTGGGGTGGGATGGCTGTGTCCATTCTAGCCTGCACTTGCGGGCAGGGCCTCGGGCTGGCCACTCACGGTGACAGTGGCCAGCAGTCCCTCGGGCACGTTGGCCACGATGATGCCGATGAGGAAGATGACGGCCTCCAGCCAGCTGTAGCCGAGGATGAGGGAGAGGATGAAGAAGGAGACGCCCAGGAAGACGGCCACGCCGGTGATGAGCTGGATGAAGTGCTCGATCTCCATGGCGATGGGCGTCCGGCCCACCTCCAGGCCTGAGGCCAGGGTGGCGATGCGGCCCATCACCGTCCGGTCCCCTGTGGCCACCACGATGCCTCTGGCGGTGCCTGTGACATGCAGGGAATTGAGGTTGGTGGCCCAGTGCTGTGAGGAAGGAGGCCAGGGGTCCAGTGCCCAGTCCGGCTTCCTGCCCTCCTGCCAAGGCCAAGCTGGGAGCTCAGTCATGCAACTGGGGGTATTTCGGTAACACTGTCTCCTGCTGTGACTGCCCACAGCACAGGAAGTACTAAGCATGCACATGTGTGCTGTATATGTGCCAACATACGTGTACATACACGTACACATGTGCCCACATGAACACGCATGAGCACAAGTGCATGAGTATACATGTGCCAGAGCATTGTGTACACATGCGCATGCCTGTGTAGTACGGGGTGTACATATCTTCTAATGTGAGCTGCATGTGTGTGCATACATGTGCACACGTGTTCACATGTGGGTGTGCGTGTGCGCACGGGTGCACATTTCTGTGCTTGTGTGTCTGTACAAGTGTACTTGTGCACTCGTGTCCTTGCCCGTCATGAGTCCCCCGGGTGGGGTACCTGCGTGCACCTGTGTGTGCATGTGTGTACACATGGGTCTTGTGTGTACATGTGGGTCCTGACCCAAGGCATGAAGGGGTGCAAGTGCATGGCCTGTGGGATGCAGCCCCGGGGGAGCAGCAGGTCACGGCCCGGCGTGCTGACGGCTGCACACACCTTCCACGCAGTTGGTGGAGAAGAAGCAGATGTTCCGGGTCTCCAGAGGGTTCTCGTGCGTGAACTCGGGGGAGCGGGTCTGCGGCTCCGACTCGCCGGTCAGGGAGGAGTTGTCCACCTGTGGGAAGCGGGGAGGGCTCGGGTGGGGGCTGGCCCAGCCCTGCCACACTCTCAGCGTGTCACACGCTCTGAGGGGGCCCCCGGAGGAGTGGGGGGGCTCAGCCAGAGCCCAGTCCAGGCCCGTGAGGGACACCCGACATCCCAGGCCTCTGCAGAGATGCCGAGGAGGGCGAGAGGGCTCGAAGGCGCCCTGGGACACGGAGCAGGTGGGGGAGCTCAACCGGCCCCCCTCCCGCCGGCCTCACCTTGCAGCCGTGAGAGGAGATGATGCGGAGGTCGGCCGGCACCCGGTCTCCCCCCTTCACCTCCACGAGGTCGCCCACCACCACCTCCTCCGCGTTGATCTGCATTTTCTCTCCCTCTCGTACCACCAGCGCTTGCTGCGGGGAGGGGACCAAGAGTCGGCCAGCTGCCTCTGAGGAGGACGGGGGTCCCGCCCCCCGCCCCCTCACCGCCCAGCTGGCCTGACCCACACCTGCGGCACCATGTTCTTGAAGGAATCCATGATCTTGGAGCTCTTGGCCTCCTGGTAGTAGGAGAAGCAGCCGGTGACGATGACCACGGCGGCCAGCACCACGCCCAGGTACAGCTGGGGAGGAGACACACTTGGCATTCTCGTCCCCCTGGGACAGCGGTGTCACCGTCGGGCATGTCCCCCGGGGTGGGGGACATGCGCCACGTCCTCTAACCTCCAAACCCAGCCCCCGCACTCCACAGGGTTCCCAGCCGAGCACTGTCGGTCCCCGTGGGGTGCAGCCAAACCCACGCTGCAGCGCCGGAGTGGGGGAAAGGCTTGCAAGCAGACAGACCAGCCCCTTCCCAGCCTGGGCTGAGCTGCCCTGCTGGGGTGGCCCCACTCACATTGTCGTTGGAGGGCTCGTCCTCCATGGCCGCCTGGATGCCGTAGGCCAGGAAGCAGAGGATGGCCCCGATCCACAGCAGGATGGAGAAGCCCCCAAAGAGCTGGCGGCAGAACTTGACCCACTCGGGGGTGGTCGGCGGCGGGGTGAGGGCGTTGGGTCCGTCCCGCGCTAGGATCTCCTGGGCTCGCTGGTTCGTGAGACCCTGGCGAGGAGGAGAGAGGGTGAGGCAGGGGGGAGGCGCACGTTGGCAGCACCCAGGCTTCTTGGCGGGGACCCTCCACGCAGAGGGAATACCAGGGCACAGCGGGGAGGGCGTTGGCCTGGCACGCGGCCAACCCGGGTTCGATTCCCAGCATCCCATAGGGTCCCCCGAGCACCGCCAGGAGCCATTCCTGAGTGTAGAGCCAGGAGGAACCCCTGAGCATCACCTGGTGTGACCCAAAAATTAAAAAAAAAACCAAACAGGGCGTGGGGCTTTGTTCTGGGGGGATGGTGGGGGTCTTCTCAGCCCCTGCCAGCCCCGGGCCCCTCCCACCCCGAGCGGCCCTGCCTCACCCACCTTGGACAGGTCCACCTGGTATTTCCGGCCCAACTCATCCAGGGACAGCTTGTGGTCATCCTGGGGGCAGGAGAGGCATCAGTGGGGGTCGAGATGGTGGGGGTCGAGCGGCCCCAGAGGGCGGGCAGCTGGGCTGCCCCCGGGCCTTACCATGACCACCTCCTTCTTCAGCTCGTCCAACTCCTTCTCCTTCTGCTTCTTCTTGCCGCCCCCATTCTCTGCCGTGGTGCCGGGGGAGTACTCGCGACCGGCCTGCAGGCGGGAGGAGGGTGGGCGGGGGGCGTGAGAGGCCAGCGACCCTGCACTGCCTGGCGGGGACGTGACCAGAGGCTCCAGAGGAGGTGGGCGGCCAGTGCTGGGGGAGTAGCCAGCTGGGCTCCCCGTTTACTGAACACCAAGGGGGCCCGAGTACTGACGCACCAGGGCCGGGGGTGGGGTGGGAGGGGTCCGTCCTGCCTTCACGGCCTGCTGCAGAGCACATGGCGGTCGGGGGAGACCCTCTAGGCTCCCCTTCTCCGCCAGATGTGGACCCTGGACAGCTCCGGGCCGGGGCCGAGCCTGCAGGCTGGTTGTCCAGCAGAGAATGAGGTCTGGAGGCCAGGCTGCGGGGAGTGGCCTCAGGCTGAGGGAAGGACTCGGGTGGACGCGTCCCGAGGGGTCTCCGCCAGCCCAGGGTCAGGCGAGGCAGCTGGAGCAGCCCTGAGCTCTGGGCTGAGTGGCTGGCTGGAGGTGAGGCCACTGAGCACTGAGCTGGGGCTCCCAACACCCCCACTCCTGTTCCCGCCGCCCACTCCCCCCCCCATCCTGGCAGGGACCCCGGTGCTCCGCCGTGGCCAGGAGCCTGCAGAGCCTGGGGCCTGGGGAGAAAGAGGAAGCGGGACCCCCACCCCCGCCTGCCCGCAGGCTGGAGAACAGAGCCCTCCTTTCTGGGTTGCCAGGGCTGGTGGGGGGGGGGGGTGCTGGAGACCAGCCAACCCCCCCCTCGGGCAGCTGCAGCGGGCTGGGCACCCCCCACGGTATTGGTCCATCCCCCAATCCCGCACTGGACTCCGTCCCCCTCCGCGCTGAGGCTGGGGCACTGCCTTTCCCTGGAACCTCGAACTGGGGTTTGGCTGTGCCCACCTCCCCTGGCTCTGGGGACACGGTCAGAGGGTCTTCATGGGGGGGGGGGGAGCCTCCCTCCACCCGCCGGGGGGGACACTCATACACTCCCGCTGTCAGAAGTTCTCAAAGTTCACCGCACCACTCCTGAGACGGCCGCTACAGGGGTCCACATGATGCCAGGCTGAGCACACGGGCACAGCCACACGCCTGGGCACATGCAGACGCCCTCACAGGTGCACACGCCCCGGCTCTATTTATAGCTCTTGTGGCTCGGGGACCCGGTGTCCAAGCCCGCGGGATCTCCGCGGCTCAGCTAAGCGCGGAGGGGTGACATGTCCTTGCCTGTCCCCCTCCAAGTGTCCTCCGGACCTCCCCGGGCGTCTCTCCCTCCCTCGGCCCCGGCCCCCAGCTCCCTGGAAGGAAAAAGACGCGCGCCAGCTCTGCTCTCTCCCGCTCTCCATATGGGAATCTCGTCGGAGCCCTCGAAGCCGCGGAGGAGGCCGTTAATCTCCGCCTGGGGACAGCCACGCTCCACCTCTGGGAACAGCCTCAGAGCCTGGGACCGGCGGCCCGGGACGCGGGGCAGGGGGCCTGGACGTCCCTGCCCGGGACCCTCAGGGAGCTCTGAAGGGTCCACACCCAAGCCGTCGGTTGGCGAGAGGCTCCTGCTTGTGCTGAGATGTAGGTGCGGGTGGTGGGGAGACAGGCAGGCAGGGGTGCCCACCCACGCGCCCTGCCCCTCTGCCCCACCCCTGCAGGCCCCGAGACAGACCCCCCTCCCGCTCTGCTCCTGGGGGTACTCACCCCGCGACCCATCTTGGGGCAGAGTGGCGGGACCTAGGCAGGACACGGGAGAGGTCCCGAAAGCGCCGGGCCCACACGCTGGCTGGGATGAGTGGACGGGCAGAGAGGGACAGAGAGGGACAGAGAGGGACAGAGAGACAGGGAGAATGGGGGAGTTTTAAATAGGGCCCTCGCCCCTCCCCTGCCTCCTCCGAAAGGGACGTTTGTTGAAACCAGAGCCCGGACTCCTCCCCTCGGCCCCTTAACTGCTGGCCGAAGGACCCTCCTCCCTGGCTCCCGGCCACCCCGCGGAGCGCAGGGGGGGTGGCTGGTATCCCCCACTCCCACCCCCCTTGCCGCAGCCAGGCTGCAGAGCCCGTGGGTGCAGGGAGAAACTGAGGCCCAGGGGCCCAGAGAGAAGAAGGAGCTTGAAGCAGCAGGTTGGAAAGCGGCCAGTCCCGGCCCCTGGGAAGAAGCCGCATCTGAGTTGGGGGGGGGGGGTCCCCAGCAGATGTCCGCCAGAGCCTGGCTGTGCCGAGGACAGGCTCTATGTCCTCTGTCCCTGCCGAGTCAGAGAGGCAGGACCTGGGGGGACCTCGCCCGTGTCCGTGCAGGGGGCCAGAGGTAGCGGCGGCTGGGAGCGACCCCTGGGTGGGCAAGGGTGGACGGTCCCGCTGCTCAGGATGTGGGTCAGGCAGGAGGGGGTCTGGGCAGGGGCTCTGTGCCGGCTGGTTTGGGTCTGGGGGTGTGGGCGCCAGGCCCAGCAGGGGTCCAGACAGGCCCAAATTGGGGTCTCGTTGCCTCTGGGGCGGCCAGTTTTGGAGTCCCCGTTTCTCTGGGCCTCAGAGATGGAGTGGGCGCCCCCCAGGGGGCGCGGTGCTCCGGAGCTGGCCAGCCGGAGTCCCCGGGAGCCAGCGCTGGGCTGCAGTGCTCCGTGAGGCCCGGGCGCAGGGCAGACGCCCAAATTCCCTGCATAGCTGCCCCCTCCCGCGGCTGCCGTGGGATTTTCCATGATGGCACCGAGGTCAGGGCCGAGCTGCCGTCGCCTCCTCCCGGGCACGGCGGGAAGGGAAGGCGCTGGGCTGGCCGGGCAGCTCGTCCCCAAGCCGGGAGCAGGGGACGGTCAAGGGCGGCCTGGCCCCGGCTGGTGGGGGGGACAGACAGGCCCAGTGACACCTGTTTCGGCCCCTGGACGGGTGGGGATGGAACGGGAGGAAGCGTCAGGCCGGAAGGTTCTGGGCTCTGCTCCCCACCCCCACCCCGCTCTCCCAGGACTCCCCGCAGTCAGCCCTGGCCCTTGGAGCCGCTGCCCAGCACCCGGCCTGGAACTCCCCGTGGGCCACTGGCACTGGGCCACCCACGGCAGCTGGGCCCGGCCTGTTTATCAGTGTGAGAGCGGGTGTGAGAGTGAATGAGTGTGAGTGTGTGTGTGTGTGTACGTGAAGCATGGGAGAGCTGTGTACGAGTGTGGCTGTGTATGCGTATGAGTTTGTATGAGTGTTGAGTGTGAGTCTATGTGGGAGGGATGTGTGTGTGTGAATGGATGTGAGACGCGAATGGATATGAGTGTGAGTGTGACTGTAGAGGAGGCGTGTGTGTGTGCGAATGAGTATGTAAGAGTATGAGTGTGACTAGATGAGACGTGTGTGCATGTTGTGAATGTGCGTGCACGAGGCGTGTGTGCATGTGAATGAGTGTGAGTGTGACTGCATAGGAGGTTGTGTATGAATGTGTGTGGCTGTGTAGGAGATATGTGTGCGTGTGAATGTGTGTGACTATATAGAGAGACATGTGTGCGTGTGAATGAGCATGAATGTGACTGTAAGAGACATGTATACGTGTGAGTGAGTGTGTGGCTGGATGTGAGATGTGTGTGCATGTGAATGTATATGAGATAGATGTGTGTGTGAATGATTGTGTAAGAGTGTGAATATGACTATATAGAAGTGTATGTGTGTGAATGAGTGAATGTGAGTATGTCTGTATGTGATACACATATGTGTGTATGAGCGTGAGTGTATATGAGATTATGTGCCTGTGAATGAGTGTGACTGTGTAAGAGATTGTGGATATGTGTGAATGAGTGTGTGTGACTGTATATTGGATGTGTGTGCGGGTGAATGAGTGTGTGAATGTGACTGTATGTGAGGTGCGTGTGTGTGTGAATGTGGAGTGTGACTGCATATCGAATGTGCGTGTGAATGAGTGTGTGACTGTATGTGAGATGTGTGTGAATGAGTGTATGAGTGTGACTGTATATCAGATATGTGTGCATACGTGTGAATGTGTGTGGGTGTGACTGTATGTGAGGTGTGTGAATGAAGGTGTGAGTGTGACTATGTGAGGTGTGTGTGAATGAGTGCGTGAGTGACCGCATGTGAAGTGTGTGTGAATGAGTGTGAGTATGACTATATGTCGGATGTGTGTGAATGAGTGTGACTCTATGCGAGGTGTGTGTGATGAGTGTGAGTGTGACTTTATATTGGATGTGCATGTGAATGTGTGAGTGTGAGTGAGGTGTGCATGTGAATGCGTGAGTGTGACGGTATGTGAGGTGTGTGTGAATGAGTGTGTGAGTAACTGTATATTGGATATGTGTGTGAATGAGTGTGAGTGTGACTTTATATTGGATGTGCATGTGAATGCGTGAGTGTGACGGTATGTGAGGTGTGTGTGAATGAGTGTGTGAGTAACTGTATATTGGATATGTGTGTGAATGAGTGTGAGTGTGACTGTATTGGATGTGTGTGAATGAGTGTGTGACTGTATATTGGATGTGTGTGAATGAGTGTGTGAATGTATATTGGATGTGTGTGAATGAGTGTGTGACTGTATGTGAGGTGTGTGTGTGAGTGTGACTGTATGTGAGGTGTGTGTGAATGAGTGAGTGTGACTGTATATTGGATGTGTGTGAATGAGTGTGTGACTCTGTGAGGTGTGTGTAAGTGTGACTGGATGTGAGGTGTGAGTGAATAGATGTGTGAGTGTGACTATATTGGATGTGTGTGAGTGAGTGTGTGAGTGTAGCTGTATGTGAGGTGTGTGTGAATGGGTGTGTGAGTGTGACTGTGTGAATGAGTGTGAGTGTGGCTGCATGTGTGAGTGTGCGTGTGAATGAGTGTGTGAGTGTGACTGCGTACCGGATGTGTGTGCGTGTGAATGAGTGAGTGCGGCGTGGCCGTGGAAGATCCGGGAGCGTGAGCGCGGCGGGCGGGTTCCGGGGGGCCGTGGGAGAGGGGCCGGGGGACAGCAGCTGCCGATGGCTCCGAGGTCTCTAAGAAACAGTTTTGTTTCCCGAGTGACGCCTCCCGGGCGGCCAACTTGAAGGTTGTTTCAAGATCACGGGGCGGGGGAGGGGCAGGAAGAGCCGCCGGCCGGCCCAGCCCCGCAAGTCCCCCCCTTGCCCCACTTCTCTGCCTGTCCACGGTGGCTGCCGGCCAGTCCACCCGCCTCCCCTCCCGCCCGCTCCTGTCCCCCCACTCCCGGCCCTGCTCTGCCGCTCCCCCACCCCCTGCCCGGCTCCCGGGCCTTCTCCAGGCGCAATTGTGGGCCACGGCACGGACAGGCTGGGGACAGGCTGGCACGGCCCCCGGCAAGAGTCGGGGAAGGCAGCGGTGGGCGGGAGGGGCTCACCTGGCTGCGGGGCCCGGGGTCTCCCTCCAGCCCACTGGCCCTGCCTCCATCTGCCCTCGGACCCGGGGCTGGCCCTTGGCCTCCTGGAGACACTGTCCGCCTTCACTCTCCGACCATGACTCAGCCACTCTGGGCCTCTCCCTGGTGCCTCCTGGGTGGTCCCACTCAGGGGTGCAATGCCTACAATGGGGGCAGGCTGAGATTGGGTGGGGGGGACTTTGGACACCCCCCATGTCATCTGCACCAGGAACAAACAGCGCCAGGGTGCAGGAGGCAGGAGGCCCCTCCTCTTCCCAGCTGGGCTCAGGGGACCCTGGCGGAGACGGGAGTTTGGGGGTGCAGGCCAGGTGTGCTCGGGCCAGCGGGCCGCTGCCCACAGGCATGAGGCCGGAATGTGCCGGCGTGAGGAGGGCGGGGTCCCCCGGGGTCTCTGGGGTGCGGGCAGGCGGGGGTTAAGGGCCAGCCGCCTGGGGCCAGAGGCCACAGCTGGCCCTGTTTGGGTTCCTGTTTCCCTTTGATTCCATCTGGGTGGGGAGGGCCCCGGCCCCCTGAGGCAGGTTTGCTTTGGCCGGAGATGTGACCCCATCACTGGCCCGGACCACCCCGCCTCCCGCCTCGGAGGCTACGGGGCCGCAGCCTGCCCCCTCCTCCCCTGAGGACTTGGCCCGGACCTGCTAGCACAGAGCACCCCGAAACGGGATTCCAGCCCCTCCTGGCCTGGGAGGGGGGGTCACTGCTCCCGGATGCTACAAGCCCAGGGCCTGGCGTCCACGCGGCCAAGGCTGTGATGCACCTTGTCGGCCATAGGCTTGGTGAGGTTGCCAGGCCCCGTCCAGGCACGGATCAGGCCGGCATGATCCTCCCCACCCTGGCCTGCAGGTGCTCCCTGTTCCTGGGACGGGGGAACCCGTGTGACCGGGCTGTGACCCACCTCCCTAAGTGTCCTCCCGGATGGACTCCAGCTCTTGGGAATATTTGTCCCCAACAGAGGCCAAGGCCTGAGGGGGGACTGGAGCTCGGACCCTCCACCTGGGCGGCCACGACTGTCCCCGTTTGTCCCTCCATTCGTTTCTCTCCTGCAGCCCGACACCTCCTCTGGCCCGCTTGCTCACGGCAGAGGGGGGACGTGCCCCCACAGAGGACCTCCGTGCTCGCTCACTGCATTACTGGGCAAATGTCACCAACCCTCCGCCCGGCCCGACCAGGCTGTGAGCCCAAGAGCCCCGAGAACCTCCGGGGGGCCCAGGCTGCTCCCTCGATGACCCATGTGGGGTGACAGGAGTGCCAGGCTGCCCGTGCACGGGGACACAGCGTGGGGCCCAGGGAGGCCACCTCATCCCGGCCTGGCCCACTTCCGCACGAGCTGCTCACCCTCCCCTCCACCCCCCTCCCCTCCCCGGCCCGGCTGCATCTCTGTTTTTGTCGAGTCTTTATTTCTGGATTGTTTTTCCTTCCTGTTCCCAGTAGAGAGCCTCTGGAAACATTCCACCCTTGTTTCATTTGGACCAGGAAGGAGGGACGCGTCCACCCCGGGGTGCCCAGCTCCAGCAGAGCCCAGGTGTGCGGGTGCACGGAGCATGGAGCACCCTCCCGTGTCCCCGTCCTCTGCTCAGACGGGAGTGGACAGCCAGACCCTTTCCACCAGGCAGGACGGGGCTGTGACTCATCCTGAGGCATGACCCCAGCGATCATGGAACCCTTCACCGCGTCTCCCATGAGTGCACACAGGCCTGACTATGCGGACGTGCCCACAGTCACACACGTGCACATGTACATGTGTACAAGCAGGCACACCACACCGACACACGCGACACACACACACAAACGCAAAACCACACAGCACACGCACACACCAACGGGTAGACACATCCACAGCCACGCCACACACGAGCACAGCGTGAACACACACGCGCACGTGGGGGTACACATCTGCCACATACATGAACACTGTGCACACAGGTTTGCATGCAGATGGTCCTGAAGTCACACAAAACTCAGATGTGCACACACCGGCACTGCACACACACCTGCACACAGAGATACACCACACACAATCGGCACACGAGGTGCACGCCCAGCTCGGGAGGCAGGGGAGGAGGAAGATGACCTCAAGGACAGGATTCGGACACTTGCTGGCCAGATGACCCTGGCCATAACTCCGGGCCCTGCTGGGCTCAAGCACAACGAGCCTGGTGACAGCAGACAGGGGCTTCGAGGTGGAGCGTGTGGGACTCTGCATCCAGTGCAGAGCACGGCCGGGGCTCAGGAAGTGCCAAAAGCCGGAGCTGGTTGGACGAGTTGGGCAATGACCTCTTGGGACCTTGCTTGCACAACCTCCGTGACTCAGGCGGCACCTGTCTGTCTCCGCCTGCAGCTCTGCAAGCGACCGCCACAGCTGCCGTCTAGACGAGCCGATCCTCTGTCCCATGGGCCCGCCCCTGCCACGGGCTGCTCGGGAAAGTGGCACGTCACCAGTCACCACGGTAGACTCAGCCCCAGGCATCCCGCAAACAGCCCCGGGTCCCCCGAGCAGAGGGTGGGGCCTGGGAGCCTGGTCGATGGGTGGGTGCTGTGTGCCGGTGTGGGCGTCACTGGCCCATGCCGGAGCAGAAAGGGCCGTGCCTACTGGGCAGCGTGGCGGGCACAGGCCACCGAGCACTGTGGGTCCATGTGTGCCTGGGTTACTATGTGTGTATTTCTGTGTGTGTGTGTGTGTGTGTGTGTATCTCATCTGTGTGTGTATCTGGTTTGCTGTGTTGTATTTCTCTCTGGGTGTTGTGTGTGCATCTCATCTCTGTGTGTATCTGGTTTGCTGTGTATGTATTTCTGTGTGTGTGTGCGTTCATCTCATCCCTGTGTGTATCTGGTTTGCTGTGTGTGTATCTCTGTGTGTGTGCATCTCATCCATGTGTGTATCTGGTTCGCTGTGTATGTATTTCTCTCTGGGTGTTGTTTGTGTATGTATCTCATCTGCATGTGCATCTGCTGTGCGTGTATTTCTCTGTGTGTGTATCTCATTTGTGTGTGCATCTGGTTTGCTATGTGTGTGTTTCTCTCGGGGTATTGTGTGTGTGTGCATGTCATCTGTGTGTCTGTATCTAGTTTGATGTGTGTGTATTTCTCTTGGGGTGTTGTGTGTGTGTGCATCTCATCTGTGTGTATATGGTCTGCTGTGTGTGTATTTCTATGTGTGTGCATCTCATCTGTGTGTGTGTCTGCTGTGTGTATTTCTGTGTGTATCTCATCTGTGTGTATCTGGTTTGCTGTGTATGTATTTCTCTCTGGATGTTGTGTGTGTGTGTGCATCTCATCTGTGCGTCTGTATCTATTTTGCTGTGTGTATTTCTCTCGGGGTGTTGTGTGTGTGTGTGCATCTCATCTGTGTGTATCTGGTTTGCTGTGTGTATTTCTACATGTGTGTACATCTCATCTGTGCGTATCTGGTTTCCTATGTGTGTATTTCTATGTGTGTGCATCTCATCTGTGTGTGTATCTGCTATGTGTGTATTTCTGTGTGTATTTCATCTGTGTGTCCGTATCTGGTTTGCTGTGTGTATTTCTGTGTGTGTGTGCATCTCATCTGTGTGTATCTGGTTTGTTGTATTTCTGCGTGTGTGTGCATCTCATCTGTGTGTATCTGGTTTCCTGTGTGTGTATTTCTATGTGTGTGCATCTCATCTGTGTGTGTGTCTGCTGTGTGTGTATTTTTGTGTGTATCTCATCTGTGTGTATCTGGTTTGCTGTGTATGTATTTCTCTCTGGATGTCGTGTGTGTATGTGCATCTCATCTGTGTGTCTGTATCTGGTTTGCTGTGTGTATTTCTGCGTGTGTGTGCATCTCATCTGTCTGTATCTGGTTTGCTGTGTGTGTATTTCTCTTGGGGTGGTGTGTGTGTGTGTGTGTGTGTGTGTGTGTGCATCTCTGTGTTTGTGCCTGGGGGTGGCGGTCTGTGTCTGTGGGCATCCCTGGGCTCGGGCACTGCTCTTTGGGGAGCCGTGTGTGACATATCTGCAGGAAATGCCTCCGTGTGCGCCCGGCACATGCGTGTGTGTGCGCAGAGCCTCGTGCCTGGGGCTGGCCCCCCCTCCGGTTACATAAGCAAACGGGGTTTCAGGCCTGGCCAGTGGGCTCCCCCTGCCGGCACCTCAGGGTCTCGGCACGGGAGCCTGGCCCAGGATCAGTGCCAGGGACCGGGGACCTCGAGCTTGCCCCCAGGAACCGGGGAGCCCCACACCTGCCTCTGCTCCCACACCCTGTCTGTCTCCTCGAGCTGGAAGGTCATTGCACACGGCTGTGTTTACACCTCAGCGGCGCCCAAGGGCAGGCAGAGAACCCACAGGTCTGGATGAGGCCTCAGGGGCCCCGGGGTGGGGGGACGGACACAGCATGGGGGGACCTGGGGACAGGCCGAGTTGAGACCAGCCCCCTGCATGCTGTGACCCGGGGCCACGCTCAGCACGGAGCTTCCAGCTGCTCAGGGCCAGGGCAGGTGACGTCATGGGCTGTGAAGTGAGGTGAGGTCATGAGGGCTATGCAGGGAGGGCCCAGGCCGCCTGCGGTGGACAGACTTGGCCCTGGGGGAACCGGGAGGGTGTGACTGCCCAGAGCTCGCCCGGACACTCAGACTCTGGCTCCCGCGGGGCCCCTCATTCTGCCCGGAGCCACTCAGATCTCAGGGCAGAAGTCCAGGGAGTTAGGGGTCACCCAGCCCTGCAGGCTAGACCCTCTCCCTTTCCCAGGCCCCCACCTGCACGGGTGAGAAGGGGAGCTCCTGCCTGCACCAGACAGGCCCTTCCCTGCACAGGCATCCCCTGCGGGAAGGGGGGAAGGGGCGAGGGGAGGGGTCCGCACCAACGTTCCAGCGAGCGGCTTAAACTTCAGAACAAAACTGACCTTCCCGGGGCTGGAGCAACAGCACAGCGGGTAGGGCGTTTGCCTTGCAACGCTGGCCCACACCGGCCGGTTTGCAACGGGCCTGGTGTCGGGAGCAAACACTGGGCGCGAAGGCAGCGGCCCGCAGGGTGGGGGTGGGGGTGGGCGGGGCCTGGAGCGAATTCAGGGCCGAGGTGGGGCGAAGAGGGTCCCGGAAGGAGCCGGCCCCCCGGGGGGCGGGGCCTAGCGGACGGCACGCCAGGAACGGGGAGGGCCCGGGGATGTGGGCGTGGCCTGAAGGGGCGTGGCCTGGCAGGGCGGGCAGAGGCGGCGCGAGGGGCGGGGCCCGAGTGGAGGCGGTGCTTGGGCGGAGGCGGGGCCGGCAGGGCCTGCGGGCGGGATGCAGGCGGCCCCGGTGGGCGGGACGGGGCGTGGCCTGTCCGGGCGTGGCGAGGCCTGGGAGGAGGCGGGGCCTGAAGGTGGGGCGGGGCCTAGGCGGAGCAGGGCCAGCGGGCGAGAAGCGAGCGGCCCCGGCGGGTGGGGCGGGGCCTCGCTGGAGGGGCGGGGCCTGGGCGGAGGGCGGGGCCTGGAGGACGGGGCGGGGCCCGGCAGGAGCGGGGCCGGCGTGGCCAGCGGGCGGGAAGCGGGCGGCGCCAGCGGGCGGGGCCGGGGCGGTCCGGCGCCCGGGCGGGGGGGAGCCGTGGGAGGCGGCGGCAGGAGAGGGCACTTGGCGGCTCCCGCTCGGCTCGGCGAGCACCGCGCACCCACGCCTCGCGGTGCCGCTCGGTGCCCCCTCCTGGGCATGCGCCCCCCGCGCCCGCGGCCACCCCGAGCCCGCGCCGACCCCCGCAGCCTCCCCAGAGCCGGCCACGCACGATGCGCGCCCTGCTGCCGCTGCTGCCGCTGCTGCTGGGTAAGCCGCCCCGCGCCCCCGGGTGCCCGCGCCGCCGCGGGCCACCCCCAGGCCGCGCGGGCCCGGCCGGCGCTGCCCTGCGTGGGTCCTGCCGCCCGGCCCGCCCGTGGCCGGAAGTGGACGCAGGCCCCGGGGGTCAGCCGGTCCCGTTTGAAGTGAGTCTCGGATAACGCGTCCCTGCGCTTCCCCGGGCGCCAGGGGACAGCCCCCTGGGGGTCTCTGCTGCGCGGCCCCTCTCCCACGTGGCCCTGGTGGTCCCGACGGTCGCGCCCGTCCTCCCCTCGCCCGGCCGCCCCCGTGCGCGGGTCTCCCAGCAGCCTGGAAACGGCTGGTGTCCGGGGCATGGACAGACACCTGGGGGCAGCAGCAGGGCGAGGGCCGGAGGACTTCCCCGGAGAAGGGTGGCGTCAGCCTGGGAGCTGGGTCTGCAGATGCTCGTAGGAGACAGACCCTGGAAACCGGGGGGTGGCCGGCGTTGGGGGGCTGGGGATGCCCGCCTCGCTGCCTGGACTCAGATGGCCACGGCTGACGCAGCCTCTCCTGGGGGCCCTGCCGCGCCCTGACCCTCCCTGGGGCTCAGGGGAGGGAACTGTGGGCCCGTTGCCTAGCGCTGCCCCGTCCCCAGTGGGCTACAGGGAGCCAAGCAGAGACGGGAGGTGGGAAGGGGTCACCATGGGGACCGGCCGGCTGCCTGGCTAGCCAGTGGGCCTGGGCACGGGGCTGCCCAGGAAGTGCCCTGAGAAACTCCATGCGGGGTCTCCACTTAACGAGGGGGCATCCACCAACCACGGAGCAGAAGGAGGGTTCAGTCCCTGGCCCCACAGGGTCCCCCGGCACCAACACGAGGGACCCCCACCTCGCAGGCACGGCCCGGAGTAGCCCTGAGCACCCAAGCCCATCAAAATTAAAAATAAACGAGAGGAACAAAACTCCCCCCACCCCAGCCCCCAGGATCTCCAGTCGGCTGCCGGCGGCAGGGAGCGGCTTCTGTGCTGTGTCTGAGCCCCAGCTCAGACACCGTCACCAGCTCCGTCACCGGTTATGAAACGCCCTCAGGCTCAGCTGCCTGACTCACAGTGGGGCGGGCAGCTCCCCCCCTCCAGCGCGCCCGGGGCCTGGACCCCAGGGTGCTATCCCGGACCACGGCAGGGGAGGGGGCCAAGGGCCTGTCCGAGGAGCTGCGGACAGAGCTGGACCAGGGGCTGGGGTGGCTGGCGGTGTGATGTCACCCACCCCTCAGTCCTCATCTTGGGGGCCCCCCTCTTCCTCCTGGGTTTGGATCTTCCTGCTGGGGCTCCTGAGCACTGCCCTTGGGCTGGGGGTACCTCCGTCAAGCCCCTCGCCCCGATACTGGGTTCTGGGAAATGAGGCAGTGGGCATCCTGGGAGGTTGTGGTTCCCCAGGGCAGGCCGTGGAGGGCTGGGGTCGGGCACAGAGCACGAGGGGCTGAGACCAGGCTGTGTGCCCCTGGCCCTGGGGCCTGCCACGACCACCACCTGGTCCCCCAAGCAAGCAGGAAGTGACCCCCCAAGCACTGAGCTGGGAGTAGACCCCCTGAGCACCCCCTCAAAAAAAAAACAACATAAAGAGAAGCCGAGTCCTCCCAGGCTTCTGCAGTAGGTGAAGTGGGGAGGGGAGACGGGGCTTTGTCACCCTGGGGAGAAGGGTGCAGGGAGGGCTGCGGGGCTTGAGAGGGGAGCTGTATGTTAATGAGCATGCAAATGAGCATGCCAATGAGCACGGAGCATATGCAAATGACAGCTCTGTTAGGGGCGGGGCATTGTGCCTCCTTGGCCCTGGGGGTAGGCCGGCGTGGAGGAGGGGGTCCGCGCCCCCTGTGCCCCAGCTGCGGTGGGTGGGAGAGGCGGTGAGCTCAGGCGCAGCTGGAGGGGGCGGGCAGCGCGGGCAGAGCGGCGGGTCTGTGCCTTGTCCTCCCGGGCCACTGGCTCCATTGTCTGCCCAGGTGACGCAGCTGAGTCCAGCGGCCCTCTGGGCAGGCGTGTGCCGCCCTCCTGCAAGGAGGGGGGGTCACATGTGTCCCCAGAGCCCCGGGGAAGATGGGGCCACCCGTCCGTCTGTCTGCTCACCTGTCTGTCCCGGAGGCTTCAATCAGGCCCCCGGCCCTGCCTGCCTGTTCTGGCCGTCTGGTGCTGGGCCGGGGGTGCTGTCTGAGGGTCCCGCCGCTCTGGCCTTTCCCAGCACTCATCCTCGGCTCCTCCCACCCTCCCAGGACTCACCTGCAGGGCCCGGGAGGTGCTGATGCCAAAGGGACCCCTGTACCGCGTGGCCGGCAGCACCGTCTCCCTCCCCTGCAACGTCACTGGCTACGATGGCCCAGAGCAGCAGGACTTCGAGTGGTTCCTGTACCGGCCCGAGGCGCCCGAGTCTGCGCTGGGCATCATCAGCACTCGCGACCCGCGCTTCTCCTATGCCATCTTCGGGCCCCGCGTGGCAGCGGGCGAGGTGCAGGTGGAACGGGTGCGGGGGGACGCCGTGATGCTCCGCATCGAGCGCCTGCAGCCCCAGGACGCCGGCACGTACGAGTGCTACACGCCATCCACGGATAGCCAGTTCCTGGGCACTTACAGCAGCAAGGTGGAGCTGAAAGGTACGACGGCCGCCGGTGGGCAGGGAGGGAGGGCCGGGCCCTGGGAACCCCCGAGGCCTTGCGAACGGGCGTGACTCGGTTCCCCTGCCTTCCCCCTCCTCCAGTTCTCCCGGATCTGCTGCACGTGGCTGCTGGCCCCCTGGGGCCCCGTGGCCGCCAGGCCCCCACCACGCCGCCCCGCATGACGGTGCCCGAGGGCCAGGAGCTGGCGCTGGGCTGCGTGGCACGGACCAGCACGGAGCAGCACACGCACCTGGCCGTGTCCTTTGGGCGGGCTGTGCCAGAGGCGCCCGTGGGCCGTGCCACCCTGCAGGAGGTGGTGGCACTGCGGCCGGACCTGGCCGTGGAGGCGGGGGCACCCTACGCCGAGCGCCTGGCCGCGGGGGAGCTGCGGCTGAGCAAGGAGGGGGCCGAGAGCTACCGCATGGTGGTGGGGGGGCGCGCAGGCGGACGACGCCGGCACCTACCACTGCACGGCTGCCGAGTGGATCCAGGACCCCGACGGCAGCTGGGCCCAGATCGCCGAAAAGAGGGCAGTGCTGGCCCACGTGGACGTCCAGACCCTCTGTGAGCTCCCGCACCCCTGCCACGGACCCCAGTGGGCACCCAGACCTCCCTGTCCTCCACCCCTGGGGTCCTCCCAGTCGCGCTGGCCTCTGCCCCGGGTGTTCCCTGCTCAGGCTCGGAGCTCCCGTGGGTGACGCTGTGACCCCGTCTCCTTGTGTTTCAGCTAGCCAGCTGGCAGTGGCCGTGGGGCCCGGCGAGCGGCGGGTCGGGCCCGGGGAGCCCCTGGAGCTGCTCTGCAACGTGTCCGGGGCACTGCCCCCCGCAGGACGCCACGCCGCCTACTCCGTGGGCTGGGAGATGGCCCCCGCGGGAGCGCCTGGGCCCGGCCGCCTGGTGGCCCAGCTGGACACCGAGGGTGTGGGCAGCCTGGGTGCCGGCTACGAGGGCCGCCACATTGCCATGGAGAAGGTGGCCTCCAGGACCTACCGGCTGCGGCTGGAGGCGGCCAGGCCCGGCGACGCGGGCACCTACCGCTGCCTGGCCAAGGCCTACGTCCGCGGGACCGGGGCGCGGCTCCGCGAGGCAGCCAGTGCGCGCTCCCGGCCGCTCCCGGTGCACGTGCGCGAGGAAGGTGAGCCGTGGGCGCCTCCGTCCCGGGTGGGCGGCTGCCCCTGCCCTGTGCTCGGCTCTGACCCAGCTCCTGGCCCTTGCAGGTGTGGCGCTAGAGGCGGTGGCCTGGCTGTCTGGGGGCACCGTGTACCGCGGGGAGACCGCCTCCCTCTTCTGCAACATCTCCGTGCGCGGCGGGCCCCCGGGGCTGCGGCTGGCCGCCAGCTGGTGGGTGGAGCGGCCCGAGGAAGGGAACATGGGCTTGACTTCCCCGCAGCTGGTGGGGGTCCTGGGCCAGGACGGCGTGGTGGAGCTGGGGAACCGGCCCGGAGGAGGCCCCATCAGCGTGGAGCTGGTGGCACCGCGGTGCCATCGGCTGAGGCTGCACAGCCTGGGGCCGGAGGACGAGGGCGTGTACCACTGTGCCCCCAGCGCCTGGATACAGCATCCCGACTACAGCTGGTACCAGGCGGGCAGCGCACGCTCCGGGCCGGTCACGGTGTATCCCTATACGCACGGTGAGTCGTCCGCCGGCCCCGCCCCTTTCTCTTGGCCCCGCCCCACCCCTTGGCTCACTTCTTCCATTGGCCCAGCCCTGCCTATGCCCCGCCCACTGCCTGAGCCACGTCCACCCTTTCCTCAGCCCTGCCCCTTTCTCTTGGCCCCGCCCTACCCCCTTGGCGCTCCTCTGCCTTTGCCCCGCCCACCGACTGAGCCACGCCCATCCCTCCACGCCTTTCCTCAGCCACGCCCCTTCCCGTTGGCCCGCCCCTTCCCTTCTCCCTCCTCTTCCATTAGTCCCGCCCTGCCCATGACACGCCCATTTAATAAGCCACGCCCATCTGACCACGCCTTCACTCAGCCCCGCCCCTTTCTCTTGGTCCCGTCCCACCCCTTGGCTCACTTTTTCCATTGGCCCTGCCTATGCCCCGCCCACTGTCTGAGCTACGTCCACCCTTTCCTCAGCCCCGCCCCTTTCTCTTGGCCCCTCCCTACCCCTTTGGCTCACTTCTGCCTGTGCCACGCCCATCGACTGAGCCACGCCCATCCCTCCACGCCTTCCCTAGGCCCCGCCCCTTTCTCTTGGCCCCGCCCCCTCCCTTCTCCCGCCTCTTCCATTGGTCCCACCCCTGCCTATGTCACACCCATTGCCTGAGCCACGTCCATCCGTCCACGCCTTTCCTCGGCCCCGCCCCTTTTTCTTGGCCCCGCCCCACCCTTTGGCTCACATCTGCCTATGCCACGCCCATCGACTGAGCCACGCCCATCCCTCAACGCCTTTCCTCAGCCACTCCCCTTCCCGTTGGCCCGCCCCTTACCTTCTCCCCCCTCTTCCATTGGTTCCGCCCCTGCCTATGCCACACCCATTTACTGAGTCACGTCCATCCGTCCACGCCTTTCCTCGGCCCCGCCCATTTTCTTGGCCCCGCCCCACCCCTTGGCTCACTTCTGCCTATCCTATGCCACGCCCATCGACTGAGCCACTCCCATCCCTCCACGCCTTTCCTCAGCCACGCCCCTTCCGTGGCCCCGCCCCTTCCCTTTTCCCACCTCTTCCATTGGTCCCGCCCCTGCCTGTGCCACGCCCATTTGCCTGTGCCACGCCCATCCCTCCACGCCTTTCCTCGGCTCCGTCCCATCTCCTATGCCCCGCCCCTTTACCTATGCTCCGCCCTTTCCTCAGCCCTGCCTTACTCTTGGCCAAGGGGCTTTTGCTCCCAGCTTGCTGCCTGGGGGTCCTGGCGCAGGGATTGATCTGGGTGGGTAAGGGGCAGCAGAGCGAGGAAGGGGGCGGACGGAGGTGCCACCACCCCTATCGGAGCCTTCTCTTCCCCAGCCCTGGACACCCTGCTGCTGCCCCTGCTGGTGGGCACGGGGGTCGCCCTCGTCACAGGCGCCACCATCCTGGGTACCATCACCTGCTGCTTCATGAAGAGGCTGCGCAAGCGGTGACCCGTCGCGTCCAGGTGAGGAGCGACCCCACTTGGGACCTCATTCCCAGGCCCTGGAGGAGCGGGGGTGTGCGGGGGGGGAGGGGGGCCCGGTTACTGGGCAGCGATCTGGGCCGGGTGCCGGCCGGCTGAGACTGGCCGAGGCCTGGCCGCGCTCATCAGCCCCCTCTCTGGCTCCGCAGGTGCCCATCCCTCCCAGCTGCTGCTGCGGTCTGTGCCTCCCCCCTCCCCTGTCGCCGCCCTTAATTTATTCGACCCTCCCAGAGCCCTGCCCCAGCCCTGCCCTGGCCTCTGGCCCTGACCTCATGTCCAGCCCGCCGGGAGCCCCTTTCTGTCCCAGAATTAGTTTTTCTAAACTGTGAATAAATGTGTTTTCTAAGCCCGGCTGCCCCGTGTCTTTCCTGGGGGGCCTGGGTCTCTGCGGAGAGAGACCCCTGCCCCAGGCTGCTCCCTGCAAACACCAGCCACCCCCACAGGCCCGGCCGGCTCACACCTGGGCCCTGGTGTCCTGGGCTGGAGAGAGCGGCAGGGGTGGGGGGTGGCATCAGCTTCTCCAGGCCACTGGGCTGCTCTGCGTCTGGGCCTGGCAGTCCTGAAGCTGCTGTCGCCCATGCCAGCCATGGGGCAACAGCTGTCCCTGACCTCGCTCCTGCCCCTGGGTCATGCCAGAGCCCTGCACCCCGGGGTCACGGCCATGCGCATCCCCCCGATGTACCCCCGCCAAGCAGCCACTCTCCCTGCTGTTCGGTCATCCCCATGTTTATTGAGCTGCGGTCAGCCAAGTGCCGTGGTTACAGAGGGGAACCGAGCTGCGGCTGGCGGGTGACGTGTCCGGACGGGGTGCCCCGCTCCTGGCCGCCTCCCCCGGCAGGGGCCGGGCATGCGGGCGGGTTTGCCTGGTACGGCGGTGAGGGGAATCACATGCCCAGGAATCCAGGTCATGGGTCACCTGCCTGACCATCCACGTGACAGGTGACTTGCCTGAGCATCCGGGTGACAGGTCGCTGCCCGAGCATGCAGGTCACGGGTCACCGTCCGTGCTGTGGACACAGACAGTCACTCCTCCTCTCTGACTTTCTCAATTAAGCCGAGGGCCTCTCACCTGCTGCCCAGCCAGTGACCACCCTGTGGCCAGCTTGGGGCGGGGCAGAGGCAGCTCTCTCTGTACCTGTGTCCAGGGGGGCAGCGGAGGGGCAGAGGGGCCCGGTCATGCCCACCCCCTGGAGGCCACTGGGGGCCTCTTCTCTGTCCGTCCCAGGGGCTCCTGCCCCCGCGTGCCAGTGTCGGCTGGTTGCACCTCTTCGGGGTGAGTGGACCCAACTCTGCGGCCCTGGGGGCGAGTGTGCTGATCCGAACACCATTCAGGAGGACCCTGTCCGCACCCCAGCCAGCATGGGCCCACCCCAGCCCCTCACCCCAGAACGCACCCACCGAGAGCCCCTACCCCAGGTCCCAAACCCCAGGTCCCACCCTAGACCCCCAGCCCTGAGCCTCCCTACCCCAGATCCCCCTCACCCTGGAGCCCACCCACCGAGTACTCCACCCCAGAGCCCCCTGACACAGACCCCCTGCCCCTCCCAGCTCCCCCTGAACCAGAACCCCACCCAAGCTCCCTTATCCCAGAGCCCCCACCCTAGAGCCCACCTTAGAAGCCCCCCTACCCACAAGACCCCCTCACCCCAAAAACCCTCACCCCAGCTGCCCCCACCCCCAGACCTGCTAATACTCCTCACCCCAAGCCGCCCACCCGAGCATCCCATCCCTTCTCACCCGAGCCCCTCACCCACCCTAGCCCCCCTCACCCCAACCCCCAGCCCCTCAGACCCCCCTTCCCCACCCCAGCCCCTAGCCCCCTCCCCCTAGCCCCTAGCCCCCCAGCTCCCTCACCCACCCCAGTTCCCCTTCTCCCAGCCCTCCAGCACGCCCATCCCCCATCCAGCTCCTGCCCTCCCCCACACCCCCCTTCTCACTGTAAGTCACCCCCTGCCCTGCCCCCCGTCCCCGGGGGGCACATGGCAGCCGCTCTGAGTGACCTCCCCACTGAGCTCCACTTCCCAGGGTGCCCCTCCACGAACTCGCTGTCTCTCCTGCCCTGGGTCCACACCGGCACACCTGCAGACCCCTGGGGCCTGTCACACCGGGGCAGGGGTGATGACAGATTTCCCCTGTCTGCCACCTGGGTGCTCCCTGGGTGCACTTGGCCGCTGCCTGCACAGAGACACCTGCTGGTCAGGCTGCCCCATACCTGCCGTGGGCCCGCTGTCCCCTGCTCCCATCCCCGGCTGGCCGCGAAGGCTCTCCTGGGCACGACAGGGCTCTCCCCCCGACCGCCCACCCTCACTGTCCCCCGGGGCACCCGGCCTGCCCCCACCACCCGTCCCATGCGCGGGCCCACGTGGGCGTCCACAGCAGCAGCGGCTCACGCCTTGGCCTCGCCCTGGCTCTGGGGGGGCGGCAGGCAGCCGTTCTGCTCCTTGTCAGCGCCCGCCTCGCCCCCGGCGCCCTCCCCGGGGCTCTCCTCCTCCACCTTCTCGTCCAGCCGGCTCGGGATGGACCAGTACAGGTGGGCGTCCAGGCGGGCGGCCGCCTCGGCCAGCTCGCGGGCACTGCAGGATGGCGTGGGCACCTCGAAGGTCTGGTGGAAGCTTGCGTAGTCCACCTCGTAGAACCCGTCCTCCAGCGTGAGCACAGACGTGAAGCGGTGACCCCACAGCACCTCGTCCACCAAGTAGGAGCTCCGGGCTTGGCACGTCATTCCTGAGGGAGGAAGGGAGGGAGGGAGGGGCGAGGGTCAGGGGCTGCCGTCGCCTCCCGCACCCTGGCACAGCGCCAATCCCACCAGCTTAGCACTGACCTCAGCGACTGCATGCAGGGCTGCCCACAGGAGTCTAGCGTGGCCTTTGCTGCCCCGTGGGATGGAGAACTCACCCCTCCCCAGGTGCCTGAACCCGGCTCTCTCGCTCTGCTAGCTGCGTCGTTCTCGGTGCAGAGCTGAGGTCTGCCTCCCGGGAATTCTCCACTCCCCTGCCATAGGACACTCCTTCCTGAGCTCCAAGTCTCAGATTCCGTCACTCCTCTTTTTTTTTTTCTTTTTGGGTCACACCCATCGACGCACAGGGTTACTCCTGGCTCTGCACTCAGGAATTACTCCTGGCGGTGCTCGGGGGACCCTATGGGATGCTGCGAATCGAACCCGGGTCGGCCACGTGCAAGGCAAACGCCCTCCCCGCTCTGCTATCGCTCCAGCCTCCCCCCGCCCCGTCACTCCTCTTCTGTGACCTAAACACCCCTGCAGCCCTGCACCCTTTCCGGGTCCTCCTGAGCCCTGCTTCCCTGAAGGTTTTCCTTCTCAGCTGCCAGCTGGAGTGGCCACAGAGGACCCCGTGGCCTCTGAGGATGTCCCCCTGGGCTGGGTTCTGCACCCAGGGGCTCAGGCTGCCTCCAGGACTCCCCGGGGCCCCGAGTCGGCCCGGCTCCGTCTCCCTGCAGTGCCAGCCGCCCAGCCTCCTTCCCCACGCGGGAAGCTGCCTCCTGCCTCACGTGGCTGCCGAGAGACGCCTGTGGCCGGGCACGCGCCAGTTGCTGCTGCTTCCCAGGCGGTGCTTACATAAGGGTTTTTTCAAGCCTAAATGTAGAGTTTTATATTTATTCCTTTTAAATGTCATCTCACGGAGGTTTTGGCTCATTATGCTAGCTTTTCAAAAGCATCTTGAATCCTGACGCTCTCACCCAAAATATTACCGTCCTTTCCAGCTCGTCTGTCAAGATCAAGCGTCCAGCGGCCTCCCTCCCCACCCGCCCTGTCCCCTGCTTCAGAGCCTGTCCTGTCGGCCGTCTGGGGCAGCTCATCCCAGACCAAGGGTTTGTCCTCTTACCCCAGGACCCCCCAGAAGAGAGAGAGTGAACTCTTGAGAACAGACTGGCCCTGAGGCATGGGGGTGTCGGGGGACACTGAACAGTGGGTGGGGGGAAGGTGGGAGCGGTTTGGGGAGAAGGGTGGGCAGAGTCGGAGGAGCAGAGGTGGGAGAAGCCCCCGAAGTGGCTTCGCCATGGCCTCCTCACTTCAGGAGCTTGGCCAGCTCCAGCCTGACACCATAGGGGTGGCCTCTCCTGGGGGCGCTTCTGTTTCTGCCGTTTGCACATGAAGAGAGTTGTAAAGTGAGGCAGGAGGATCAATCTTTCCTGTCCTCTCACCAGAGGGAAAAAAAACCCCTCCAGAACCAAACCTTCTTTCCAGCTCCGACTCTGAACACCTAATGGAAAGTTCAGAGAGGGGACATGCCCCTAGCCTGTTAACCACCCCTCCCCCCCAAATCACAGCTTGGTGCAATTTCTGAGAAATGAGCCCTGGATACGAACGTCTATCTCCTACTAGCATGGAGTGAGACTAGGTGGTGCAAGCTTTGAGAGGTGAGGGTCAAGCTGACACGAGGGCACTTGGAGCTTTAGCTCAGAGCCCGCCCGCCCTGAGCACTCCCCATTCATGCCCCCAATAAGACCACGCCCCTGCTCTTCCAACTCCTGTGTGCATCTCACCCCTGTGGACACTGGCCACACGCCCTACTCAATCTCATCCTTATGTATGCCACAACCCTACGGAGCACGCCCCGCCCTACAGGTGCACACACCATCCACAGACAAGGCCTTGCCTGTACGACAAGGTGTACACAGGTGCACGCCCCGCCCATAGACAAGGCCCCGCCCACAAGGCCCCGCCCCACAGGCGAGGCCCCGCCCCATACAGGCACACACCCAGTCCACACACAGGCCCCGCCCCACAGCGGAGGCTCCGCCCCACAGAGAAGTACACTCCCCACAAGTCCCGCCCCCACAGGCGAGGCCCCGCCCCATACAGGCACACGCCACGCCCACAGACGAGACCCCGCCCCAGCAGGCGAGGCCCCGCCCCATGCGGAAGTACACCCTGCCCTCCCACAGGCCCCGCCCCCACAGGTGAGGCCCGCTCTATACAGGCACATACCCAGTCCACACTCAGGCCCCGCCCCACAGTGGAGGCTCTGCCCCACAGAGAAGTACACCCGCCCCCACTAGCCCCGCCCCCACTAGCCCCGCCCCCAATGACGAGGCCCGCCCCATACAGGCTCACACCACGCCCACACAAGGCCCCGCCCCACAGACGAGTCCCCGCCCCATACAGAAGCACACCCTGCCCCACACGCACACGCCACACCCACACAAAGGCCCCGCCCCACAGACGAGACCCCGCCCCATACAGAAGCACACCCTGCCCCCCCCACACAGGCCCCGCCCCACAGATGAGACCCCGCCCCATACAGAAGCACACCCTGCCCCACACGCACACCACGCCCACACACAGGCCCCGCCCCATACGCACACGCCACACCCCCATAAGGCCCC